TCGGACAGTGGCCATAAGTTTGAATAAGATCAGACTTCGAGCTCTATCTGATGACGCTCATATATTGTTATCTTGCGTGTACGGAAACCGGCTTTCAGGTAAAGGGCCGTTGATTCTGTACCGCTGGTTAACTGGTAGTATTTCATATATTTTATATTTTTGTAAAACATATTCAAATATATTTAATCATTGTAGACAAAATTCTCTACATACGAACATAATACAAAATGTTCGTCGTCTTTTTCGTTTTGATTCATATCTTAAAGAATTATTTACAAGTGAACTTAATGAATATTGTCTATGTCAAGAATGTGATTGTACAATATCCAATAGGTAAAAGATTATTTCATTTTAATCTATTTGATTATTTATTATTTTTTTTGTTCTTTATTTAAGTATAACTGATGTAATTCATGATGTCGGTGAAATACGAACAACATTATTAATTGAATCTAGTCAAATATCATGTGCATGTTTTCGATGTGGAGATCAAAATCAAAGAAAAACATTAACATTTAAACAGTAAGTTAAACTTAAAAAAAAACAAAAGACAAAAAATATATTTTTTAATTTTAGATTTAGTCCTTGTCTTGCATTAATAGTAAATCATTTAAATATTAATGCAACTGATCAATTAACTAATTCACAAGGTGTAACATATGAATTATGTTATATTATTGAATTTGATTCATTATTACGTTCAATAATCAATGTATATTTACGACAAGGTTTGTTTTTAAACTATTCTTCAAATTTTATTATTAATATGTTTTCTTTTTTTTTAGATACAGAATTTATTAAAGTTGATGGACAAGATATATCAAGTCGATCATTAACAATAAATAGTCAAGGAAAATTTCTTACACTTTGGTTAAGTCGTTCAACATCTGTTACAGTTCCTCAATCATCTGAATTAGTACCAACAGTTTCACATAATGTGTCATTTCTATCTCCACCACAATCAGCAGCATCATCTTCACAAATAACATCAAATTCTCTAACAAATAATGATGTATCTATTCCAAATGAAAGTATAAATACAATTGATTTTAGTGATATTATAATACCACCAATTACTACACTTGTTGGTGATGATGATGATCAGTTTTGGAATTCTTTAACCGAACAATCAACATCAGCTGAAAGTGAAATAATGTCAACAACAAATAATAATGATACTATTAGTGATATATATTTAACATTACTTCATTCAACAAATAAAGATTCAACACCAATAAAAACTCGAACTGAACATGATCGTACTGTAAATACACTTGCATCAGATATACTTTGGCCATTAATTGTTGATCAAACAAAACGACGTAATGATAAAAAAACTTCATCATCATCAACAACAACAACAATACAAACGACATCATCAAATTCATCAAATGCTAGTTCAACTAGTAAAAAAAATCATTTATATAAACAATTATCATCATCTGTTAAATCTCGACGAACACATCCGTATATGAATGCATAAACATTCTTTTATTTTATTTTGTTTGTATTTATACTAGAAACAGTTGAAAGTTTTTTGTGTCTGATTAGTGTTAGATGTAAATGTATGTTTAAAAAAACGAACAAACATGATTGATTTTTGTTTAAAGACAAAGACAAAAAAAAATAATAATAAGTTTAATGTATTTGAATGAAAACAAAAGAAAGAAACAAAAAACGCCATTGGAAGAATGGTTTGTGTTTTCAGATCATGGCCAATGTCGACGAATTATGTCAGTTTGCACGATTAGGTCAAACATTTAAAATTCAAAAATATTTACAAACCCATAGTGAGTAGTCAAAAAAAAGACAAGAATAAAAAAACGTTTGACCCATGATTTGATTTCGATAGTCATCAATATAAATCATTCATAGGTGTTGATATTAATGCATTAAATTTATATGGTGAATCAGCACTTTCGATGGCTACTTATTACAATCAAATCAGTACTATTGAATATCTCTTAGCAAATAAAGCTGATCCTAAATTGTAAGTTTTATTTATCACACAAGCGTTGTTTTTTTTTTGATGATGATATGAGTTTTTTTTTAAAGACGTCTTTCTGCTGGACATACAACTATTCATATTGCTTGTCGATTAGCTAATGTATCTATTTTACATTTGTTATTATCAATAAAAAATAATGAAGAAGAAGAACACCAACAACAACAAAAAGATAAACATATATATGATTGTTTACGAATAAAAGATTATGCTAATTTAACACCAATACATTGGGCTGCTACACAAGAATCTGTATCAAAACGACAAAAAGTTTTTGCTTATCTTGATCAACGAATGCCTGGTGTGCTTGATAGTCGATATGATATTAATTGGTTTAATTCATGGGCTAAAACACATCCATGGGTTATCGAAGTGAAATTAACAAAAAATATACTTCCAATGTAAGTAGAACATTGCGGAATTAAACTTTTCGAATCCGAGAAACCATGAAAATTTGTTTATCACCACTATATAGATATGTGCACGGGAAGCTTTTTTTTCATCCCTTGACTGACTAGGGAATCTCCTCACCTACCTCCTTTTGATTTAAATGATTTTTTTGCCTATAGATACTATCCAGTATCCTAGTAAACACTGGATTCATATTGTGATTTTCTCTAGAGGCTTCAGGTTTTCGAAAATCTCGTATTTTCGAACGTTGTATATATAGAGAATTCAACAAGGCTAGCTTCCATAGAAAAATTCAGAAGTTTTAAACAAAGCCTTTTCAAGATATGAAACTTTCAAAAGGCTTTGTTCAAAACTTCTGAGTTTTTTTAAGGAAGCTAATTCTCCAAATGCACAAAGTTCAAAAATATGAGTTTCCCGAAAACCTGAAGCCTCTAGAAAAAAAATTAGTCAAATATCAATAGGAGTCTAGTTTTTATTAGAATACTATATAGTATTTATAGGCAAAAAAATCATTGAAATTGGAAGGAGGTAGCTGAGAAAATTCTCTCGTGAGATAAATTTTCTAATCCTTACCCTGCAACCAGTTTACTTGACGGGCTACTGGAAGTTATCTATTGATAAAATATATAGCGAGATTTTATAGAAAAATCCTAATAAATCTCGGCAACTATGGTTTATCCTTATCCTATTCTACTTTGCACATCTCTACTATCGTATACACTTTTTTTGTGCTATTTGTTGATGAAAATGTCTCTTAGATATTTTTTTTTCTCGAAACTTATGAATCTTTAAAGTATTTATTACTTAACATACGAAGAATAAACTTATTACTATGTGAGAGTAAAAATACTTGACTTTTTCTTTTTACTAATGTGAGTCCGATGTAAGATAATAATAAATATAGATATATCTAATAGTTTTTATTCGACAATCAGATTTTTTTTAAAAGGTTTACTTTAGTTCTCCAAAACAAATTCTACCGAAACTAATAAATACTGATAAAGTCAATCGACAAAATAGCGAACAAGGTTCATCTTTACCATTATTAAATGGATATACTCCTGTGGATATGATTTCAAGAACATCGTTTCATGACTATGAATCTACACCAAGAACACCACCAACAGCAGCAGCAGCAGCAACGATTGTTTATGATAATGATATTGACGAACAAAAAAAACGAATTTCATCTAAAGTACATCTTGTAAAAATCCATTTAGAATAATTAATTGATAATATTTATTTTTTTCTCATATACAATAGATTGAACATGCTTCTCAAACACCAAAGTTACCACTTACACCTATTACCAGTCGTATAGTAGCTTTCACTCATCATTATATTTCAAAACATGAACATCATACTAATGAATGTCATAAACCATCATCAGTAAGAAACATAAATACATCACAACGATAAAAATATTATTACGATATTTTTTTTCTATAATCTATACAGAAACAATCATCCAGTTACAATAATATGTCTCCTAATTCACAAAAAACACGTTATTTTCAACGATTTAGTTCAATTATTAAAAATTCCTTATCACCTCTTTCTGATCGCTCAACATATCATACTGAAAAAGCTCATGTTATACCAACATTGAATTTTCCTTATTCAACAACATCTATTGAAAATAAACGATATGATTATGAAGATATAAGTTCACCAATATCAAGTAAACGACCTTCTCATAATTTACTATCAAATATTCTTCCATCAACAACATCATTATCATCATCTGATCAAAGTAGTCGACAATTAATAAAACCATTTAATTTTGATACATCTTGTAATTTACAACATCATCATAATAGAACAACAATTGAAACATATACACAAAATAATGAATCAGATAATGAAGATAATGATTATTTATGCAAATCAACTTCAACTTTAGATATATCTTCATCCGATGCTTATACTTATGATGTTTAGTAGTTTTTACTTTTTTATTTTCTAATCAAATATGTTTGTCAGATATTTTATGTTTTGTAACATACATTGACGAACCGCATTGGTTTTTTTTCTTTATATCAGATATAAACATGATAAGAAACTATTTTTTCTTTTTAATTAAAGAATTGATTGGTTGAAAACGATTTATGTTATATATACGAACGTAAGATCAATCGGATATTAATCATTGTCGTTCTGTATTTCGCATTTGATATTCAACTATAGTTGTCGCGACTGTGTTTGGTTCAACGACAATACAAAATGATTGAGTAGTTATGGCTGTTTGAAAACCAATTTTCAATGCTCTCCATGTACCTTTTGCTAATTTCCATGCTATTCGACGTATCTAAAAATATGAAATAAAAAAAAAATCAAATACAAATCAGAAAATGATTTACTAATAATACCTTTGAATATTCATGTCTATTATTACTATTGTCATTATTATTTTCGACTAAATATACTCGGTCATTTTCACTTTTGCCAACCCTATGTCGACGACGAAATTTTGTCATCACAATATAAACGTTGTGTCAATAGAAACAGGTCGTGTGATACACGATATAATACAGAGAAAAGAACGATAATAACAAGAACGAAAAAAAAAAAGAAAAAGAATAATCTATTTCAATGTTAGTTTATGATTCTCAATGTCATGCATATCAGTAAGATTATTTCGTATAAAATCAGGTACGATAGTTGAATATAAATGTGAAGTTTTTAATAATTCATTTTCACGAAAATTAAATAATGGTGGTAAATGACGCTTATTTGGCAATAAAATAGAATGTTGTTTTAATTCAGAAAAAAAATCAGATGCAAGTGCTGCTTGACATGTTAAACGTTCATTTGGTTTATATTTTAATAATTGTTCAAGTAAAATTAATGCTGATTCTTGTGTACGTTCAGGTAAATAACCACGTAATGTACGTGGTGTAAATGTAATTACAGTTAAATCAACTGAACCTGTATAACGTGAATTCATTTCACGTAATTCATCTCGTGTTGGTATACCAATTATTTTTATTATTCGATACATTTGATCACTTGAATCAATACCACGAAATATAGCATAACCATTGAGAAATTCAGCTATACAACAACCAGCTGACCATATATCAACAGCTGTTGTATATTCCGTACAACCAAGTAAAAGTTCTGGAGCTCTGATTTATTAAAAATAAATATAGTAAGATGCAAAAGTCTTTACCATTCTCGAATAAGCAATTTTTCTGAAAGTTTTAGAACGAATTTTTTGAAAATTCTCTAGAAGATGAGAGAGATCGATATGTAGCTATGTAAACCATAAATCATCGTAAACATTTGTGCTTTGAGAGAAGAAAGTACTCTGAACAACGAAATGTTACTTCGCTGAAAGCGAAGCCGTAAACTATTTTACAGTACCGAGACAGCAACAATCGATTGCCTGATAGAGATCATTCTTTGGGCTATCAAATACAATATCGCCTAGGTAAAAGAAAACATGGGACGAGCACCATAATAATCGATCTCACAATGTCACTATCGTTCAGTATGAAGTCCTCAGTGAATTGGTTCGACGAAAAAAAATGAGACAACGGTGAAAATTGGACCCAAATAATGGTCATTGGCAGGACCTTCCACGAATTAGTTAGAAAAACGATTCACCGAGGATCGAAGAATTCAAGACTCGGCGTCAAGCAAATTCCAAAGAACAGGTAGAAAACCATGGTATAGGGCGGTGTAAGTGTCATGAACCTGGTCGACTGGTATTCATTCAAGAGGATATCGATGATCATTATTGCATTCAAAACATTGCAGATCATCTTATCTGCAATTCCAGAAAGCAATTCTACCTATCTTCGGGATTCGAGAAAGACAAGAGTCCCGAATACAGAACTTGAGCAATGAAACAATTTTTACTTAAGGAAATATCTGGAACGATCGGTTGGTTCTCAAACACTTCCGACATCAATTTAATTGAGAATCTCTGAGCGATCTTCCAATGTCGTATCCAAAAGCAGAAACTGTCAAATCTCGACGAACTAGACCCTATTTCTACGTGAGGAATGCTACAAAATCAACTTTGTGGTCATTCTAAATCATTTGGTAAATTCAATAGAATCGTGATGAGTTAGCTTTGATTAATTGTTAGGAAAATAATCACATATTAATTGTAGTACTTTGTATTATGTCTTATTTATGAATATAATTGCTTTTTGTATTCATTGTATTCACTCTGAGAAGTAGTTGAAATGCTGAGGACAACGGTTTTTGCACCTCACTGTATATAATCAATAGTTTAATATAAAATATCTACTTACCTATAATATCGAGTACATACCTAGAAAAAAACAAGATAATTTTTTTTTTGTTCCAAAAATCTCGATCGATTTTAATATTATTTTTACATATGAAACTGATTTTTCATTTTTA